TTTGTTAAATGACTTAATTTGGTGGTCTTGAGGTTGATGGTGAACTTCTTGTTTTCATCATTGTTTTGCATGGACTCTACCATTTAACAATTTTGGTTTTGTTTTGTATTTGCCAGGCAGCACATATATAGCATGAACATACCAATACCACCACACCTACCCTATTCTGTATCTGCTGTCCTTGATCTGGCATGCTCCTGATGCATCAGACTACAGTTCACATAATTCCCAGGCAGCATGGAGGAAAGTAGGTCTACATACAGTGTACAAATATACATAACTCTACTTTGAATAGAATTGCTACTGGGTATAATGTATCAGCAATGATAGTAAAACACTAGATTTTAATAGCTGAATGACATAAAGTAATTCATTGCAAGTAATGCTTATGAAGGCTGTGGAGAACATTCTTCAGCAAGGAGGAGGTGATCTGAAGTTCTCTCTCAGGTTCATTATCCTGTGGACCTGATAGTGTTTATTTTACCCACGTGGTCTCAGGATTGGTGCTTGGGGAAGACTACTGGTTAGCATCAGCTACCTAGTTTCCCCACAACCACCTCTGAGTAAACCACTAAATAGCCTCTGGCAAGAATCTACTTAGTCATTCCTCATTTCTGAAAAAGCTACATGCGCAAACATTGCTGATCACACATCACATAGAGTATTTATTTATTTATTTATTTATTTACTTTGCTTATATACCGCTGTATCTCAAGCCCGAAGGCGACTCACAGCGGTTCACAAACAGTAAAAACAGTAGAAACAGCAGTGGTTCCATACAACATATAACAATTGACTTAACACATTATCCATAAATTACCAATAAGCAATTACAATGCACAATTATTACAAAAAACAACCGTACCCAATCTTCTCATCATCCAAGCGTAGTCCAGGTTCGTCGTCCATTGTTCCATTCCTATGTTCCATTACCAGATTGCACTAAATTACTCAAACACCTGCACAAACATCCAGGTCTTCACCTTTTTGCGGAATACCATTAGAGATGGTGCTAGTCTAATGTCCGTAGGAAGGGCGTTCCACAGCCGAGGAGCCACCACCGAGAAGGCCCTATCTCTCGTCCCCGCCAGCCGAGCTTGAGAAGTAGGCGGGATCGAGAGCAGGGCCTCCCCGGAAGATCTCAAACTCCTGGTGGGTTCATAAGCAGAGATACGTTCGGATAGGTAGCTTGGGCCAGAACCGTTTAGGGCTTTAAAGGCCAACGCCAGCACTTTGAATTCAGCCCGGTAGCAGATCGGTAGCCAGTGGAGTTGGCGCAACAGGGGGGTTGTATGCTCCCTGCGCTCCGCTCCTGTTAAAATCATGGCTGCCGAGCGTTGGACTAGTTGGAGCTTCCGAGCTGTCTTCAAAGGCAACCCCACATAGAGAGCGTTGCAGTAGTCTAAACGGGATGTAACCAGAGCGTGGACTACCGTGGCCAAGTCAGACTTCCCAAGGTACGGCCGCAGCTGGCGCACAAGCTTTAGCTGTGCAAATGCTCCCCTGGTCGCCGCCGAAACCTGGGGTTCCAGGCTCAGCGATGAGTCCAGGGTCACACCCAAGCTGCGAACCTGCGTCTTCAGGGGGAGTGCGGCCCCATCCAACACAGGCTGTAACCCTATACCCTGTTCGGCCTTGCGACTGACCAGGAGGACCTCTGTCTTGTCTGGATTCAATTTCAATTTGTTCGCCCTCATCCAGACCGTCACAGCGGCCAAGCACCGGTTCAGGACCTGGACAGCCTCCTTAGTAGCAGGTGGAAAGGAGTGACAGAGTTGGACATCATCCGCGTACAGATGACACCGTACCCCGAAACTCCGGATGATCTCCCCCAGCGGCTTCATGTAGATGTTAAACAACATGGGAGACAATATTGAGCCCTGAGGAACCCCACAAGACAATGGTTGTGGGGGTGAACAGGTGTCCCCCAACAACACCTTCTGAGATCGACCCTCCAGGAATGACCGGAGCCACTGCAAAACAGTACCTCCAAGACCCATCCCCGCGAGGCGTCCCAGAAGGATACCGTGGTCAACGGTATCGAAGGCCGCTGAGAGGTCCAGCAGCACCAACAGGGACACACTCCCCCTGTCGAGCTCCCGGCGCAGATCATCCACTAAGGCGACCAAGGCTGTCTCGGTACCATGTCCCGGCCTAAAGCCAGACTGTGCCGGGTCTAGATAATCCATGTCTACCAAGAATACCTGGAGTTGTGAGGCCACCACACTTTCCATGACTTTGCCAAGAAGGGGAGATTGGAAACTGGCCGATAGTTGTCGAATTTAGTGGGGTCCAGTGATGGTTTTTTCAACAGCGGTTTTATTATAGCTTGTTTTAAGCTCGCTGGAATCTTGCCTTCCCGAAGGGAAGCATTAACCACCACCTTAACCCACTCAGCCAATCCCCCTCTGGCCTCCTTTAGAAGCCAGGATGGGCAGGGGTCCAGGATGCATGTGGCTGGCCTCATTCCTCCAAGTATCTTGTCCACATCCTCGGGTTTCACCAATTGAAATGAATCCATCAAAACTGGACAAGCAGGTGCTCGTGTTACATCCTCAGAGACTGCCATTAACATGGTATCCAGACCAGAACGGATCAAAGCGACTTTGTCTGTAAAGAACTGAGCAAAAGCTTCACAGCGAGAAGTCGAATCGTCAGGGTTCCCACCTTGAGTGGTGGGATTTAACAGGCCTCTGACAATTCGGAACAGCTCAGCCGGACGGTTCTTTGCAGACGCAATAGTGGCCGCAAAGAAAGGCCTTCTTTGTGGCTTTTATTGCCGTGGCATATGCCCTTAAAAAGGACACAAACCGTGTTCGATTTGGCTCACTCGGATCCGAACGCCACACATTCTCTAGTTCCCTCTTCCTTCGCTTCATCGCTGCCAGCTCCTCGGTGAACCAGGGAGCTGGTTTAGCTCGGCTACTTGAGAGGGGACGTTCCACTTTGAAGAAGTGCCTCCTGGTGATCTGCATGTTTGGGTGACTCTGTATGAACCATATACAAATGACACAATCCAGTTATTCACCCCAAAGCATTTGCTCCTCTCTGCCCACCAGACTTCTGTCAAACCACCTGGACTGGACTTGCCACTAGGAAACATAAGAGGGCTGTCTCAGGAGGCAGATTTAGAGAGTCACATAAGAGCAACAAAGTATGAGTTATTAATTTTTCTAGTACAGAATTTTTACTAAGAATTTTTTGTTTAAATTAGCAGGTTTTGGCCACAATGCACCTTGGCTTGAACAGAAGGCACTTTTGCTGTTCTAGCCAATAGCAGAATGTATATTGGGCAAGCCCCAGGTCTGCCTAAGCAGTTTGGGAGCCAATATAATGGTTTTAATGAGAGCAAAGCTTGTTTTGTATTTATTTATTTATTTATTTATTTATTTATTTATTTATTTATTTACTGTACTTGTATTTCTCAGCCTAGCTGGCGACTCAACGTGGTTTACAACAAAATACAACAGTCAACAGTATACAATTTAAAACCATAAAACCATAATACACAATATTAGCACATCCATAACAATCCAATGCATCTCTTAACTAAAATCGTGATCCGGTTTTGTCGTCCATATTTCCATTCCTGTGATCGTCACATTCATTGCACTGATTAAGCAAATGCTTGTTCAAACATCCAGGTTTTTAATCTCTTCCGGAACACCAATAGCGAGGGGGCTGATCTTACCTCCATGGGAAGGGCGTTCCACAGCCGAGGGGCCACCACAGAAAAGGCCCTGTCTCTCGTCCCCGCCAGCCGCACCTGTGAAGCAGGCGGGATCGAGAGCAGGGCCTCCCCAGAAGATCTTAGAGTCCTGGTGGGTTCATAGGCAGAGATACGTTCGGATAGGTAGCTTGGGCCAGAACCGTTTAGGGCTTTATAGGCCAACGCCAGCACTTTGAATTGAGCCCGGTAGCAAATTGGCAGCCAGTGGAGCTGGTGCAGCAGAGGAGTTGTATGCTCCCTGCGCTCCGCTCCTGTTAGTATCATGGCTGCCGAGCGTTGGACTAATTGGAGCTTCCCTGTCTTCAAAGGCAACCCCACGTAGAGAGCGTTGCAGTAGTCTAGACTGGATGTAACCAGAGCGTGGACTACCGTGGCCAAGTCAGACTTCCCAAGGTACGGGCACAGTTGGCGCACGAGGTTTAACTGTATGGTCAGGGTTTGGGTGTGCTAAACGAGCCCTTCAGAGACCCACTCAAATCAACACAAATAGCTCAGGCCACCTCTTTTTGCAATGACGATTATCCTTGTAATGCTTGTGTTTGCCAGCATCACCTTCCCAAGCTCACCCACACATATGAAGCCACCACTTAATAAAACTAGCTAAATAATGACCCTCATCCTTCTGATGATAGTTCCATTTCATTTCCAGACTACTTACTCTTGCCAACACAGACCTCATCACCTTAGGTTCTTGAAGAGTCTTAGACATCCACCCTCCCCTAGGCTGGGAAGACAGTTATGTTGACACTATAAGCTCCATTCATACATATACACACAGAGAGAGAACTTCCCAGAGGAATGTGGCTGTTGGGCCCAGCTGTGAAAGCTCATCTTTGTTGGTCTCTGTTTTGACAAGGGAAGATCTGGCAGGCAATTCCCTCATGCCAAGGCAACAATGGGGCTCCATGCCAAGCCTGCGTTAGGAAGCCTCTCTGCTGGAGAGAGCAAACATGTGCCGTAATCCTTACTAGTAGCAGGCAGCCTGTTTCTCTCTTTCTCATTCTACTCAGGAGTGAAGTCAGCCTTCATCAGTGGAATCGTTTATATACATTTTTTTATTTATTTTTTTTAAAAAAGTTGACAGACCAGGCTGGCTGAAGAAATAAGCAGGGTTTTGGATCAATATAAATACTTTAGCAAAAATCAGAGAGTAGGGGAAGAGGAAACAACAGCAGGATTAAGCATGGAGAAATTGGGAGAGACTTTCTAACAGCTGGATGAGTTGCCTGTGGTGTCTAAGAAGCCAAGTAGCTGAGCATCTCCCGCATAACATTAAATGACAAGTCAAGGGAACAGCGTCGCCCTGGAAATGCAAGTGCTATGCCTTTAAGACCATCTTGCGGGTGAATTGCATTTCTCAGTCACTCTGCACGTGGCAGAATAGTCTCTCTCTCTCTCTCTTTTCTGGACGGGGAAAGAAATCACATTGAATTTCTCTTTCTGGGTCATGCCTTTGGCACCTTCTTTATTCCTCTCTGTTTCAATAAGACAAGGCTACTTCAGTTTGGAGCACAAACATATGATCAGCACATGGAAATATGGTAATCTGGATGGATTCATGATTGCAACTCTCTGAAGAAGTTAGACCAAAAGTATTTTTCAAGAAGAAGAAGATAAAACAACAGCAGTCAGAGAGATTAAGTGCAATTTGGAACACGCGGATGCTAAACAAATCTTGTAGTAATGGAGAGGGACCGGATTACAGGTGAGTGTTGGAGTCATTCGATCTGGTGTGTGTGAATGTATTTCTCTGTCTTCTTCCTTACTTTCACCCACCACCTACCTTCGGGGCTGCAGTGTTATTGGAAAAGGATCAGCCAGGCTCTTATTTCACATCAACATTCTCTAAGTTTCCTTACTTTAGCTCTACCTTTCTGCCTCTCAGTGATATGATCTCCACACAAACTGTAGTGCTGCAACAGAAATATCAGGAGTCAAAATACTTTTCTGGATCTGGATTTAATTTGATTCTCTCATCTTTCCTCCTCTGATTCATTTTCTCTTTTTGAATCTCCTAGGGAAAAGAATGAATGTGCTCCTTATGAACTTTGATGTTGCATATGGGGGTGGGGTATGGTAGATGGTTGCAGGAATGAGGTAGGGGGAGATGGCCTATCCCAGCACTTGGCTTGAAAAAGCCTGTATATACGGGAAATTGGCTGCTACATTTGTTTGCCTGTGTGTTGTGGTTTAGCACTGGCTTTCATGCCAAAACTTCTGTGAAAAGCAGAAGCTTTCTTGCTCTCTCTTCTTGTCCTGTGGAACTGTTTATATTGCTGTGTGGATCATTACTTTGCAAAACAGTTTCTCATTATTAGGGTAGGGTAACTTTTGTTCATGTGTATTCCCTCTAATAACCCTAGAAACTGGGTTATTTGCTGCAGATATTCCCCACTTTGTTTGTATTAACAATGGACATCTTAGCACACTGTGCTGCTATGTTAAAATGAATGCGACTATGTATTTCTGCCCCTGTTACTACGTATTTATGGTCAAGATGGACCTACTATTGGATCAGTGAAGTGGAGATTTTGCATGTCAAGAGAGGTCAGCAAATGCTACTTGGTTTGCAGCTTTCTTTTCACTGTTTGGTATTGGGAAATGTGCTTGAGAGTTTTGTTGCATCTTTCACCAGAGTAACTTGGCTAACTTTGGGTGACACACATCTTGTTTTGTATGGTCAGGTGTTTTGCGGCAACATGTCTTGGGCAGCCACTTGTTGACTTACATAGTAGAAATAGCATTTAAGCATAAAATGACTGCTGAGGTATAAGTATACCAGATTAACCATTTTACTGTCAGAAATCTATATAAGAACCAGACTATACAATCACACTCAACAACATTTCATTACTAGGTTTACTTCTGAAAGCCAATGCTGATGAAAAGCAAACTTTTATCTTGCAATACTTTCAGAGGTTGCTAATGTTCCTAAACCATGCTTTTCCATTGTAAGAAAGGGCATCTGATGGATGTTATTATGTTGTAGTGGTTAGGTGACAGGACAGTAAAGGAGAATCATTCATGTCTTCTTCAAATCTACCTCTGACTTGTATTCATAATATATTTATAGACTGCTCCACTATCTAGACTTTGGGTGCATCTACCTTGTAAAATTAATGCATTTCGACACCACTTTGTTGAGGACTGGAAAGATTTACTGCCAGCTGCAGTAAATCTTTCCAACCGAAAGATTGACAGTTCGAAGCCCAGGTGAGGGTGACCTCCTGGTCTTTAGCCCAGCTTCTGCCTACCTAGCAGTTTCAAAAACAGCAACGTGAGGAGATAAATAGGTACCACTTAAGTGGGGAGGTATTTAATTTCAGCAAAATGCCAGAGATTCAATCAAGGAGAAGTTTATGAACAAAGCTCTTTGGCAGGGAAAGTAGAGCGACAGCACACACACACACACAAGCCCCCATGGCTGGAACTGAGCACAGACTCCAAGATGCCAAAGATGGGAAACCCTATATATACTTCTTTCTATGTAGAATTGTCTATCTTGTCAGTGTATAACGGCATTGAATGTTTGCCATATATGTGTTCTGTGATCCACTTTGAGTCCCCTTTGGGGTAAGAAAGGCGAAATATAAATATTGCAAATAAATAAATAAATAAAATTTGTGACTCGGTGCTATGGTATACTGGTGGTTTGGCGAGATCTCAGCAATCTTTGGCAGAGAAAGCCAAGTACTTTATAAAAGTATAGCTCCCATGGTTCTGTAACATAGAGCCATGGCAGTTAAAGTGGCAACAAACTGTATTAATTCTACATTCTTCCCCAGGCCGGTGGTGCTTCATGATCAGCAAATACCCAACAATAGTTGAGAAAATTCTGGTTAGCCTAGATTGGATTTGTCTCAGTATTTTTGTTGATGACCCAAATATTCCACTAGACTATAGGTTAGGAATGATTAGATATTCTTAGATTAGCCAACATCGATGAGCTTTGACCTTGGTGTTTATATTGCTGTGTGGATCATTGCTTTGGGAAGAGTTAGGTGTTGCTTCAAATGGCCCAGGAAAAAACCAATACCCTTTTCATGCTTCTCTGTCTATGCAGGCTTCCTTCCTGCATAGCGGGCAAGGAATGTTCTCTCTCCCTCCAGCCACAAAACTTTGCCTCTGTTCCGGAGTTTTCTTAGCTGGCATAAGAGAAACACTCATTGGAAAGCTGTGCAGCTCTCCTGGGCGTTGTTGGCTTTGACTATTGGGCATTCACATTGGAAACAAAACCACATGTTGGAGAAAAAACCACCAAGGGAGGGTGGAGTGCAACAGTGGCCGAGGAAAGCAGAACTCGGCTTGGTCTAATCTGGGCTGTGTGGACCAGCAATAGTTAGAGTTACACACCCACATAGAGACGGAGGAAGAGAAGCCAGGCAGCAGCAACATCAGCTGTACTAGAAGAACATTCACTGTGTGGATTGGAACATGTCAGCGCATCCCTCTTATGCAATACTGCCCTGAAGGGCTTCTGCTCACAGCATATTATCCTAGGCAGATGTTAGCTTCCTCCCAGGTCCTCTGTCCTTCTTTCAAATCCCTGAGGAGAAGTAAGCATTCATGCACAGCTAAAAGGCCTTCTAGTTAATAAATGCCTTGTGCATTTTCTTTGTTATTTCCCATTAGGAAGAACGTTAAGGGCCTTCACTGAGGCAATTTGCAAAACTGCACAATTGTGTAAAGAGCAAATAAGGTTATAAACTTGTATATCTTATCTCTTTGAACAAAAGGAATGTGGAAGGGGGTTCATGATGATGATGTACTATATGCATGTCAAGGGAAAATAAAAGCCACAATATTTGATTCTTATTGAATTTTCCATCATGATTCACAGTACAAATGGAATGACTGTTCAGATGTGGAAGCTTAATACAGACAGCATTCCTTTGTGTTGAATCTATTGGTTATACATGACTTTTTCTAGTCTTGCTTTGATCAGTTTACATGTAACTACAACATATACATTCTAAATACAGCATGGCCCCTGCACTTGTGGGACCAGTATTCATGGTCTCATTACCCACATCTGACAAAATATGTCCTCTCCTGAAATTTTCTAGACCTTATGGTATGGTATGCTTCTGCCATAGGTTACCATAGAATCGTGCTGGCAAATTCCTAGAAAGGATACATCTCTAGAAAGTTCCTTTTGCTCCAGCATGAATATAGTAACTTCCAGTGAAACGTGTTCATTTCAAAACGGTCCTCTATTATCCACAATTTCCTGTTCCCATAGTAATTTCAGAAATATATATCAAATGGAAGGGGTGAGGTCAAATAGGCAAGTCTGAGACTAACAAATGTACCATTCTTGTAGAGTATAATATGTGATGCAACATTTACACACATGATTTAAGACTTATGAAATGAAATATAGCCAACCAGAGAGTCAGTAAGTTCATTACATGTTTATGGCTCAGTGCTGGGCCATGGCAACCAGACTGGGGTGAACTAAAAGCTAGGTACTGTGGGATCATGCAGCAGTTGATACCAAAAGGCTGCTCACCAAAGAGCAAATTAGGATGAGGAGCTGAAGTGTAAACCAGAATGTAGGAACCCATAAGAGCTCAAAATATACTGTTTAAGTTAGACTCAGCTAGAACAAGAAGCCTTCTTAAGACACATCTACACTGACCATTTAAGTTGATGAAGAGACAAAGCAGCCCTGTGGCAGCTACATGTCACACAAGGCTGATCTATGATAATGCAAAGCAATGCCACCTTATTACAGCCTTGCCTCATATTACCAAATCAGGGGAAACCCTGAATCCTGCTCCAGAATTTGGGCTTTCCCCTGACTTAGGGGCAGTGAGGATAATTGGGCCACAATTGCTTTGACTGCTGTCTTCTATTTCCCAGGCTTCGCTGGACTAGCAACATGGGATGGCATTTTTCCATCCCCTCTGCCAAGACATGGCACTTATATTTTTCTTGTTACTTGCCCAGCTAAGGGAGTATCTGTGCTGCTCCTGTTGGACTCAATCCAGTGTCTGGTTCACTGAATGGGACCTGGATAATGAATCAATGTAGTGGGGCCTAAGTATGAACTGAGTCCAGTACTTCATTGAAATCTTGCCACTAGCAAATCAAAGGTTCACCACACAGGGAAGATACACAAAGATCCTGAAACTCATCCCACCAAGAAAACATATACAAGGGTGATTTTAAGCTGTTGGCCTGTCACAACCCGGTAGTTCACAAATTTTGTACACTTAAACACATAATCTTGCATCATGCCTATCTGATCCATTTGTTCCTTTTCAATCTGGGCATAGGTGTGTACATACTATGGGTGAAGCTTTTGGCAGGGCAGTTCAAAATGAGAGCATTGCTACCTCAAATATAAATGCTCCCCCAGTTAGTTTTTTCTTAATTCCATCAATTTCTAGCATTGCAGTAACCTAAAACCTCAGTAGAACATTTATAATGTGGTTTAATCATTCAAAGAAAGGGGCATGGGTTATGAGCACGAGAAATATCAGGGTATAAGGTCTGAAGAACTTTTAAGGTCTCAATCTCTAGAGTGCTGTTGTCTGGACTAGGCAAGTCTCCACCATGCATATTAAGCTTCATGGACATGCTTATTTTTTGCTTTTTATCTAGGCAGTGGACTTCTGTGACTGGGAATTTGCAAAGAATAGGCTTCCCAATGACACTATACATAGTATTTTAGAAAATAAGATCAAATGAGGGCAAAAC